GCAAATTTTTAAATACAAACTTTGGCAATTATTTGATACATTATGTTCCATCATAGTATGTATGGTTATCACCATAGCAACATTAACTTTTAAATAGATACATTAGTTTTAGATAGAACAAAATGAATTTTTGTTAATTATTCAATAACTATAAGAAATATACCCCACAAACTATATATATTTGTTATCAGAAGAAAATAACAAATTATTTTAAGTCATAGCCAACTATGGTTTCCATTTAAAAAAATAAAGTTACGTCTAAAATCTCGAAAATAAAAGATGGGAAAAAAATTCTACCTACGCCACTGAATTCTTCGTAAAAAGTAGCCCATATAATGTTTTATTTATAATACTCCATCTTTGATAATAAGTGAGATATTTGCGAATGTCGTTTTCGCAAAATTTTCAGTTTTTGCCGATAGGGCGAAAACAAAAGACGATAGCTGTTCGGAGTTTTCGGCATTAGCATTTTCTCGAAAAACGAGATCATGACAAGTAAGCTACTTTTTTTCTATGTCTTTTAGTTTCGGAGATAGCCTATGCGGATATCGAAATTGGGACACCCTGTACACGTGACGACTAATTTTTTTTGTTAAAGTTATTTTCTTTAGCTTTAATGTTCGTTTTTAACATTTTTCAATTATCATATGTTTATATTCTCTTCAATCTTAAGTAAATATCTGAAATAAATTTGTGTTAATTGAATTTGATATGAAAATGAAATGAAAATCAGTGCTGAAATGGAGAAGAGTTGGTTGAAAGTGTGCTTGATGTGTGTAAAGTTTAAGTCTTGGGAGTAACGGGGCGCGCGGCGGATCAAGTCTGGAAATAAACGGCGAAAACGACGCTAAAAAGGGAGCAGCTCGGACGGGCGTCGCGACGCGCTCGGTCGCCGCGGAAACAACCTCTATCTACACATCAACTAATCTCCGAGCGGCACACACTAGATTCAGGCGTACCGCCGCCAGATGCTCGCCTACAGGATTCGACCGACGCTCAGTTCAGTTTCGACTGCGATAGCGCGAGCAGTGCATTCGAAATTGCGTCGTCGCCCGGCGTATCTCCTCTCTTTTCCGAACCGACGGCGATATTATCGTCCCTCTCTCTCACTCTCCCCCGACGCAACATTTATTTTCATTCATTTTCGGTCCATCAATACCAGTTCGTTTTCTATTTCGTTTAAGTAATTTAATTTATTGAGGTTTAAATAGAGGTTTTTTGTTGAAAATTCGAACCTGCGAAAGTACTCCGGGAAAAGTGCTACCTTACTTATAGTGCTGCTGGTGAAAACAACCGGCTCGACGCCACCGTCGTCGTCGTTTCGAATTTCGTCGCGCCGCGACGTAACTATAACTGTACTCGTACACCGTGGATTTCTACTACTACTAATAGTACTACTATTATCATCGCAAGGATAGTGGAGTACTCGCCGACCTGCCGTATATACACATGCCGTGAGAGCTGCTTATAAGGCATCTTGAAGTGGACGCGCGCGATGTGAGCGCTGTTCCCGCGAACCGGTGCACCAAGGCGAGACGTAACCAGCAGACGAACGCAAAAATGACGACCGATGAGGCCGTAGGGTGAGCAGTGCCCCCAAAAAACGAACCGCCCCCCTTTCGCCCCACTAAGACATGTATGGACTCGCACGATGTGTATCTGTAATGTTCGTTGTGATAATCGCGTTCCTGAGCTTCTGTTCCGGCTACCGCATCGATAACGTACTCGCCATGACCGACCTAAGGAGACAGCGTCTCCAAACTCCCCCAAACACAATCAACCCCACTAACACCATCGAAAACACCTCCGAACAACCACCCTTTCTACTCGACACCCACAAAATAAGACACTCTCGACACCGACACCTCCACCTCCAACCACCGACCACCGAAGAACATCTCGTCCAAATTCCCACATCGCCACCTCACGTTACTTCACCGCCACCGACGACGTCCCTCTCGATTTCCACCCCTAATCCAATTCAACTCGTTTCGCGCATCCAAAGATCCCATAGATCGTCGTCATCGTTTTCGAAACGAAACCAACGAAGAGGAAAAGGAGATCGACGAAAAAGACGCAACACCAAATGTCAACTGCAAGACAGCTTCAGGAAGGCCGCGATGGCGAACACGGTGATGAGGGCTAAGGTGCAAACGCAGAGTGCCTCCAGGAAGGCCAATTCAACGTACAACGTTACGTTCAACATCCTTAAGGTGTACAAGAGTCGCGAGCCCTCGAACCACGATACGATTAGGCTTGCGTTCGCTTACGGTGGCAACCCGTCCAATTGCGAATCCGACCTCGGCCGGAACGGATTAGTTCAGGCCAAGCTGCAGCAATCGCAGGAGTACTATCTCTTCCTCAATAGTCACGGATCTTACAACTATACAGTTTACGGACTTCCAGTGCCCGTTAGGCAAACACGCGAAGGCATCGAAGCCAAAATTGAGAGGGTGTGCAAAAAAGGATTTGGTAAGTCAATCTTAATTTTTTTCATTTCCTCGAAATGTTACAATTTTATTTCCAACAATTTCAAAGTAAACACACCATCATTCGTTTTCTTACGATTTATTTCGCGATTGGTGCAATGTTTATATGACATACTCAAGCGATTAAAATCGATATCGAATTCTTGTTATCCACGGAAAATAAAAAATCATTATCTTAATCGTTCATTTTCGGAATTGAGTACCTAAAATTTTTGTTGTGGTTTTAGGAAAAATCATTTTATAACTTTTAAAAATTGATGCGGAGCTACCGCAGCTCCGCCGCCGGTTGTGTTCTTTGACCACGTTACAATTTACATATAATAAGTTACAGTCCGTTGGTTTCATGGGTAGGGTACAAGGACGAATTCACCAATTATGACAATGGCGACAGTCAAATGTCACAGTCTATCAGGTGACGACGATGTGAAACTTAAAAGTTTTGTCTTATTTTGAAAATATATATATGTACATATATATATATGTATATTAACGACGCAAATCACTCATTTTTAAATTATATATATATATCGTGAAAGTTTTGCATCATTTTTAAAGCATATATATTTCGCGTCATTTATATATACAGCCAGGAAAATGATAATATCTCATCTCCCGAAATGTAATTCAATGAAATTTTTTAACAAAACATGTAAGAAGTCCATATTATTTCCATATTTTACATAAAAACTGTATAAGTTATTATTAATCAAGGGGAACACAAAACATAATCATATCTTTAACTCAAAAAAGTCTACAAACAGTCCTAAAAAAAGTCTATCAGTGTCCGTTATAGCTCAATAAAAATATGCAACATAATGTTAGTTCTAGTTTTGCATTAGCACTATCACTAGAACTAATACAAGACCTAGAACTAGAATAATAGAGCCGTTAAGTAGTTTTTTTTACTGGCTTATTCGAAAGTTTTTTAACCCTTTGTGTCCCAAGAAGTCAAAAATTTTGAAACTTTGTTACAGAACTAAAACGCTATCAAAATACACTCAGTAAAGGCCTTTGGAATCAATTTTAGCAAAATATACAATCCCCCCCATTCCAGGGGGATGATGGTACTTGAGAGTACCATGAGAGATTAAAATATAGTTTAGTGATGTTGCAGTAAACAAAAACTTTTATTGCCAATATTAATAAACATTGCACGCAGTACATTTTGAGTGTGGTCTACCTTTGGCAGAACAATTTTCACAACTTCCTCTTTCTTTTGAACTTGCGCTACGACATTTTCGTGGACGCAGTAAATTTGAATATTTATTTATCAGACCTGTAGCTATAGAACGCCGAAAATGTGATAGAATATTGAAAAAAAAACATATTGAGCAAAAACTAACATTTTCGCATCTCTTATGAATCTAAGTGTCAAAAAAGATGCTAATTCAAATATTCCTGGAAGCCGTGTTTATTGAAATTAAGAAATGAAACTTATTTTAAATTGAAGCTTAAAGTTTTCTCTTTAAAATGATGTATACTAATGGTTATGTTGGATCACAAAAATATGTAGAAAAAAAATGTTGAAATTAAACTTACATTTTGGTATAACCTAAAAATGTCAAAAAAGATGCTAATTTAAAAATTCCTGGAAGCTGTGTTCATTGAAATTAAGGAATGAAATTTATTCTAAATTAAAGCTCAAAGCTTTCTCTTTAAAATGATGTATAATAATTGTTGGGTTGGATTGCAAAAATATTGAGAAAAAAAATGTTGAAACAAAACTTGCATTTTCGTATAACCTAAAAGTGTCAAAAAAGATGCTAATTTGAAAATTCCTGGAAGCCGTGTTCATTGAAATTAAGGAATGAGACTTATTTTAAATTAAAGCTCAAAGCATTCTCTTTAAAATGATGTATAATAATTATTGGGTTGGATTGGAAAAATATTGAGAAAAAAAATATTGAAATAAAACTTACATTTTCGTATAACCTAAAAGTGTCAAAAAAGATGCTAATTTAAAAATTCCTGGAAGTCGTATTTATTGAAAATAAAGAATGAAACTTATTCTCAATTAAAGCTCAAAGCATTGTCTTTAAAATGATGTATAATAATTGTTGGGTTGGATTGGAAAAATATTGAGAAAAGAAATGTTGAAATAAAACTTACATTTTCGTATAACCTAAAAGTGTCAAAAAAGATGTTAATTTAAAAATTGCTGGAAGCTGTGTTTATTGAAATTAAGGAATGCAACTTATTCTAAATTAAAGCTCAAAGCTTTCTGTTTAAAATTATGTATAATAATTGTTGGGTTGGATTGGAAAAATATTGAGAAAAAAAATGTTGAAATAAAACTTACATTTTCGTATAACCTAAAAGTGTCAAAAAAGATGCTAATTTAAAAATTGCTGAAAGCTGTGTTTATTGAAATTAAGGAATGAAACTTATTGTAAATTAAAGCTCAAAGCTTTCTGTTTAAAATGATGTATAATAATTGTTGGGTTGCATTCGAAAAATATTGAGAAAAGAAATGTTGAAATAAAACTTACATTTTCGTATAACCTAAAAGTGTCAAAAAAGATGCTAATTTAAAAATTCCTAGAAGCTGTGTTTATTGAAATTAAGGACTGAAACTTATTGTAAATTAAAGCTCAAAGCTTTCTTTTTAAAATGATTTAAAATGAGTGTTTAAAACTACCGGTACTTTAAAGTACCGTCGAGACACAAAGGGTTAAAATTGATTGACCCAATATTTTTTAATTTTTGATCATGAGGCTTAGTTTTCCCAAAAAAAAATAATAAAGTTTGAAACTACAGAGCATGAACTCCAAAGTACGTCACTCAGATTTGAACGTACGATTGGAGCGTATAACAATTAATAAAATTCGTGGAGAGAGACAATGCTACGAATCTTATGCGCTAGAAGAAAACAGAAGGAAAAACGTCATCTGGAGTCGGGGGTGGGGAATTTTAAACTTTTACATTAATTATTGCAAAAATTAAACCATTTTCGAACGTAAAAACGTTACTAATCCGTCTAATTTAATTTAGATTATCGATTTTTTAAAAGACTATCTTTCTAATTGATTAACCTAAAGCCCTATTCGGGTTTAGCAGTCTTGAGATACGTGCGGCTAAGCCCGAATGTTTCTGTTGTAGGTCTAATGTTAGTTTTAGAGACAGTGGTAAGTAGAGCTAGTTAGCATAAGATATCACTATGTTGTATATTTTTATTGAACTAAAGCTAGAACTAACACAAGACCTAGAACTAGAATAATTCGGGTTTAGCCGTCTTGAGAGACGTGCGGCTAACTCCGAATGTTTCTAGTTCTAGATCTAGTGTTAGTTATAGTTTTGCACTATCACTAGAACTAACACAAGACCTAAAACTAGAATAATTCGGGTTTAGCCGTCTTAAGAGGCGTGTGACTAAATCCACTTACTATCTGTTTCGACTTTGTATTAAAATAATATAGACTTCTAATATCCTTCGTTTAAAAAGTTCATTGAATTACATTTCAGGAGCTAAGATATTATCATTTTCTGAGGTGTATGTAGACTTTATTGTATCACTGTATAAATGAAACGAAACGTTCAAGTTTAAAACATACTCGCGAGTATCGCAGGTGACGACGATGCGATACGCGCGAGTGTGTTTTAAGCTTGAAAGTTTCGCATCATTTATATATATAGATTTAAAAATGATGCGAAACTTTCAAGCTTAACACACACTCGCGCGTATCGCAGGTAACGATGATGCGATACGCGCGAGTGTGTTTTAAGCTTGAAAGTTTCGCATCATTTTTAAAATCAAGTTAGTGCAAGTGTATTTCAAGCTTAAAACACACTTGCGCGTATCGCATCGTCGTCACCTGATAGACTGTGACTTTTCTATATACATATATATGAAATGTGATATTATATATATATCTTAATCTTGTTAAAATTGTTTTTAATTTTATTTTTCTCTAAGTGACCCTGATTTTTTATTTTAATTTTATTTTTTCGTTTATTTATTTATTTCTATCGGAGTCGGAGGAATTCCTTTTGTCGTGGGGTTTTAATGAGGAACCATCTTCCGCTGATCTACATAAATATTTAAAATACCTGCTGGTCGACCGCCGAGGTGTGGGTGTGCTATGCAAAATAACTTTTCTTCTCATGCGCCGGCACAATTGTTTTCTCAAACGGCGCCGTCCGACCCCGAGAACAAAACGAAAATGCCGACCGAAAATTATACAAAACTCCATTATTCGAGCCATCATCTTATTCGATTCAAATAAGTTTATGTTGAAATTAATTTACTTTCGAAATGTTTACTTACATATCTAATTAATTGAGTTTTTAGCCGTTCGCTTAATTAGTGTGAGTAAGCAACTTCACGGTATTTTACTCTTGCTTTCGAGGGGTGCATAATTCATAATAATTTTCCCACCTCATATGGTGTTTTATCGTTAAAATCTAATTGAATATAAAGAAGGGGTCAGCATATAATAAAATATTAAGGGGAGAAAGTCTTTATATATTTGCAGAACTCTCTTAATTCTCAATAATCAACCGATATTTATAAAATAATACCGTTGCGAACAGGAAATAATTGTTGATAAGATAGATAGAGATATATGTAGGACACCACATGGCTTCAAAACGAAAAATGTTATCAATGAAATTCTCCATCGCATTCCAATCCTGCCGTTTATAAAGGTCGATTGTCGCTAAAGCTGTAAGTAGGTAATAATTTGCTTACGATGCGAAATGTACGCAATTAATTATTATAAATAAAGTCTATTTATTTTAATTCAAATTGAGTAATTTTAAAATCTAAAAATAAATGAATTTCATATAACAGATTTCCCCGAACAGATAAAGCGATTATAAACAAACACGCTAAATTTATCCCTTAGATCATTTTTAATTATTTTTTTTTCTTAAAATTATTATAATTCTCGTAGCAATAAAAACAAAAATTAATCGTCTACTTTATCCTTGATAACCACTCCTCGAACAATTGTATTAATGGAAACGGTTATAAAAGTTATTGGA